CCTGCTCGAGTGTGAGCCCCGAGTGTGCAACAGGTGCACAACATGTGAGTGTGAGCCCGGAGAGTGCGATGGGTGCACCGTGCTCGAGTGTGAGCCCCGAGTGTGCGCCTTTAGTGTGCGACAGGTGCACCATGCTCGAGTGTGAGCCCCAAATGTGCAAGGGGTGCACAGCATGTAAGTGTGAGCCCTGAGTGTGCAATGGGCGCACCGTGCTCGAGTGTGAGCCCTGAGTGTGCGATGAGTGCACCATGCTCAAGTGTGAGCCCCAAATGTGCAACAGGTGCACAGCATGTAAGTGTGAGCCCTGAGTGTGCAATGGGCACACCGTGTTCTAGTGTGAGCCCTGGATGTGTGAGGGGTGCACAGCATGTAAGTGTGAGCCCTGAGAGTGCAATGGGTGCACCGTGCTCAAGTGTGAGCCCCAAGTGTGCAAGGGGTGCACAGCCTGTAAGTGTGAGCCCTGTGTGTGCAATGGGTGCACCGTGCTCGAGTGTGAGCCCTGAGTGTGCAACAGGTGCACAGCATGTAAGTGTGAGCGCCGAGTGTGCAATGGACGCACCGTGCTTGAGTGTGAGCCCTGAGTGTGCAATGACTACGCCATGCTCGAGTGTGAGCCCCAAATGTGCAAGGGGTGCACAGCATGTAAGTGTGAGCCCTGAGAGTGCAATGGGTGCACAGTGCTCGAGTGTGAGCCCCAAATGTGCAACAGGTGCACAGCATGTAAATGTGAACCCTGAGTGTGCAATGGGCACACTGTGCTCGTGTGAGCCCCGAGTGTGCGACAGGAGCCCAACATGTAAGTGTGAGCCCTGAGCACTGTTGGGTTGGGTGCACGGTGCATGAGTGTGAGCTCTGAGTGTGCAATGGGTACACGGCCTCACCAACGCACAAGTGTGAGCACTGAGTGTGCAATGCATACACCACACATGAGTGTGAGCTCTGAGCGTGTAACAGGTACACAGCCTCACCAATGCACAAGTGTGAGCCCTGAATGTGTGACGGGTGCACTGTGCAGGAGTGTGAGCTCTGAGTGTGTGACAGGTACACGGCCTCACCGACACACAAGCATGAGCTCTGAGTGTGCAATGGGTGCACCATGCACGAGTGTGAGCCCTGAATGTGCAATGTGTGCACAGCCCAGCCGGCACAAGAGTGCGAGCTCTGAGTGCACGACGGGTTCAGAATGTGAGCTCTCAGTGCACGACGGGTTGAGAGTTGCCCAAGTGTGAGCCCTGAGCGTGTGTGCTGCCCTGCCGGCACATGAGTGTGAGCCATGAGCGTGCGAGAGAGGTCAGGCACATGCGTGTGCAGCTGCACAAGTGTGTGAGAGTGCAAGCACAGAGGGCTTGTGACTGCAGGTGTGTGGGAGAACAAGTGTGTGCACAAACGCACAGTGTGAGTGCACGAGTGCGTGTGCAAGCGCACGGCATCATTGTGCCAGCGCGTGCAAGGATGCGAGGGCGCGTTCAGGAGGCTGCGAGTGCGCGCGGGGGGCCGTGTGAGTGTGGGTGTGTCAGCATGGGGGGTGTGCAACACCAGCCCCGTGATGGGCGAGTGTGAACCGCAGTGGGCCAGCACACGTCGGCGTGGTTGCACGACAGCCGTTTATTGCCACGGGCGAACATAAGGCAGGCGGCAGCCACGTAAAGCTCGGGGCGGGGGGTTGGCACGACACTCGTGCACCCCCAAACCCCCGCGGCGAAGGCACTCGTGTACTTGTGCACCACGCAAACCCAGTGCGCCCCTTGCACCCGTGTGTGCATGCAGAAAAGCACCCCGCCTAGCCACGTGTGCACGCCGCACCGCTGCGCCTCGCACACAGATATACCCACAGATCAAACACAGATCAAACGTGCCCGTGATTCACACTCACACCCATGCACGGATATACTTGTGCATCAAGTGTAACTGCACACCGAAGCACGGATTCGGCCGTGCACTCGCACACTCTGGAACCCGTGCGCCCTGCACCGTGCACAGGGGCACCAGTGTGTCAATGCACCCATGAATCAAACGTGCCCTTGCACCGACACCCCCGTGCACCACGCACAGAGGCACCTGAGCCCTGGTGCAGCCGTGAAGGAGATGCCTCTGTGCGCCCACACACTTGTGGAGCACACACAATTACACACCTGTGCACCCGTGCAACTGTGAAGCAAATACACCCATGTACCCCTGCATCAAATGCACATACACACCAGTGCATCCATGCACCAACGCACCATCCCAGTGCATCAGTGCACCAACACATCCGTGCACCAATGCATCAAATGCACCAGTGCACCCCCGTGCAATGATGTGTCCATGCACAGGTGCACTGGTGTGTAAGTGCATTTGGTGCATCTGCGCACCAGCACATCTACACACAGCCACACCAAATGCACCGGTGCATCCATGCAAAGGTGCACAAATGCACTTACACAGTGCATTAAATGCACCAATACACCCTAGTGCATTGTGTGCTGATGCACCAGTGCATCAATGCACCAATGCACCAACTGCACATACACCCCAGTGCATCTGTGCACCAATGCACCCATGCACCGATGCGCCAGTGCATCCACGCACAAATGCACTTACACAGTGCAACAAGTGCATGCGTGTAACAATGCACCAGTGCATCCACGCACAGAGACACTGGTACATCCATGCACCAATGCAGCCATGCACCCCTGCATCAACTGCACGTGCACACTCGTGCATCCATGCACAGATGCACCAAATGCACAGTACCTTCTTGCACTGATGCACCAATGAATTGGTGCATAGCTGCACTTACACACCTGTGCTTGCACGCACAGATACACCAAATGCACTGGTGCATCCATGCACAGGTGCACAAATGCGCTTACACAGTGCAACAAATGCATACGTGCAGCAATGCACTTGTGTGTCAATGCAGAGAGGCACACTTACAAACCAGTGCATCCATGTGCCCATGCACCAATGCATCAACTGCACGTACACACTCATGCATCCACACACAGGTGCTCAAATGTGCTTACACAGTGCAACAAATGCACACATGTACCGATGCACTTGTTCATGCGTGCAGAGGTACCCTTACACACCAGTGCATCCATGCAGTGAGGCACCCTTACACACCAGTGCATCCACGTACCCATGCACAGATGTGCACCGATGCATGAAGTGCACTTACACACTCGTACACCCATGCACAGATGCACCAACTGCACTGGTGCAGCCATGCACCGATGCATCAAGTGCACTTACACACTTGTGCATCCACGCACAGGTGCTCAAACGCCCTTACATAGTGCAACAAATGCACATGTGTACTGATGCACTTGTGCACACGTGCAGAGGTACCCTTACACACCAGTGCATCCATGCAGAGAGGCATCCTTACACACCAGTGTATCCACGTACCCATGCACTGATGCATGAAGTGCACTTAACGCACTCGTGCACCCCCATGCACAGATGCACCAAGGGCACTGGTACATCCATGTGGCAAAGCACCGATGTGTCAACCACACTTACACACTCGTGCATCCACACACAGATGCACGAAGTCATTGGTACATCCATGTGCCAATGCACCGATGCGTCAACCACACTTACACACTTGTGCATCCATGCACAGATGGACCAAGTGCACTGGTACATCCATACCGATGCACCCATGCACAGCCCCATCAAACGCCGGTGCCCGGGTGCCACCCTGCCCCACTGCAGCCGAGCCCCCTGCCCCGTGCCCTGCCCGCAGCCCCTCACCTCCACGCAGAACCGGCCCTGCTGGGTCCTGCAGAGCCCATAGGGGACGACGCCGCAGGGCGCCCGCACCCACAGGCACCAGCGCGGGGCTGGCCCGGGCTCGGGGCGCAGCAGGAAGGCACCGGGGACGTCCCGCCGCAGCAGCGCGATCCCCCCATCCCTGGGGAGGAGGAGGAGGAGGAAGAGGAAGAGGAAGAGGAAGGTGGGCGCAGGGGGATGGAGGAACCGGAGGGGAGGGGGTGATGGCAGGAGTTGGGGGGGGGGCTCCCGCCTTCTCACCTGGCGATGCCGGCGAAGGCCCACACGCTCTCGGCGAGGACGCTCTCGTTTTCGGGGAGGAAGGCCAAGCTCCTCGCCCCTTTGCTCTCCCATCCCGCCGCCCCTGCGGGAGCCCGTTAATCCCCTCTTCACCCCCAACACACACACACACTCTCTGTGCCTCAGTTTCCCCTCCGGGCGACTCACCAGCATCACGGGGGGGCTGGTGGAGCTGGCTCTCTCCCCCGCAGTCCCGGTACGCCCCCGAGCGCAGGACTTTGCTGCGAATGGCCTTTTTCCGCACCAAAACCGGGGAGCAGTAGGGGTTCCCCGGGCGCCAGGAGCCGGCTCTGCCCTCCGCCTCCAGCCGCCGGTCCTGGGGGGGTAGAGAGGGGGAGTGAGGGGGGCATCAGTGGGGGAAAATGTGCTAAATGTGCTAAATACCATGGGGGAAAAAAAATAAATGGCGTGCAAAAAAATGCTAAAGCAAGAACGTCCTGAAAAATACCAAAGCCGTGCAAAAAAATGCACCAAAAATAAGTTATACCAAAAAATGCCGTAAATGGGAAAAAAATTGCCGTGCAAAAAACGCCGTGCAAAATAACATCCTGCAAAAGCATCCAAAAGAGTACCATCGTGCAAAATAACATCCTGCAAAAGCATCCCCACGCCGAAAGAGTACAGTGTGAAACACCAAAATGGCGTGCAAGAAAAGCTATGTATTAGAAAAAGACCACCGTGCAAAAAAACCCTGCAGTGCAGAAGACCGTGCAATAAATGCCGTGGTGAAAAAAGCCGTGCAAGACACCAGAGAAAAAGTGCTGTGTAAAAAAATGTTACACAAAAAAGTGCCGTGCAAAAAAGTTCCATGCAAAAAGGCCATGTGAAAAAAGCCCTGCACACCCATGTGCAAAATTGCTGTGCAAAAAAAAAAGCCATGTGGATGCACTCTGTGCAAAAACGCGGTGCAAGAAAAGGCCGTGCAAGAAAAGGCCGTGCAAGAAAAGGCTTGGCAAAGTGACGTGCTAAACACAGGTCTGCAAAGAAATGTGCAAAAACGCCGTGCAAGGAAAGGCCATGCAGGACACCGTGCAAAAACATGCCGTGCAATAACACACTGTGCAAGAAAAGGCCGTGCAAGAAGTGCCAGGCAATACACTGTGCAAAAAAAATGCCTTGTGAGAAAAGGTTGTGCAAGACACTGTGCAAAACACATGCC